AAAACATGGTGTGTTATATTTGTATTTCTTTAATATCCTTCTACAGATGACCCTCATGTACAGTATTCAGCAGTGAGCAGTTTTGTCTTTCTGCGATTCTTTGCTGTGGCTGTCGTGTCCCCTCATATATTCCATTTGAGATCCCACCACCCAGTAAGTTTAATGTATCTATCTGTGTTCCTCCTGAATATCATAAAGTTTCTTTTAAGATTATACATATGTGATCATTTAGCTAAAAACAATAACCAATAATCCTGTGCTGATCCTGAACATTGAGCATTATGTAACATCAAAAACCCTCAGACCCCCCAAGCAGCACTAGTAATCCAAACTAAATATTATCTACAGCACCAATAATAGTAATACCAAAACCAATTCGTTTTTTAAATTGCCGATCAGTGTAAAACCAAAATATTAATAGACAAATAATTTAATCATAACGTGCTCACAGTGTTGAGCACACATCAATAGAGAGCTATATCACATTCATAACAAATAAAGGCCATCAGACACTAGATGATCACATTTCAGAAAGCAATCCTCTGCCAAATGCTCCTCTATGGTGATTAGCTCACCACATGGACCTCTTAACTGAATAGGGTAGTCAGAAGAGCATAAATGTGTAAATCTTCCAATCTTTTACCCTGTGACCCCTATTCAGTTTCCAAATAAAACTCCACCCCAGGTGTCATGAAAGAAGGAGACAAGATATGCAAATAATCATTGCACAATAACCTTTATTAGAAACCCTAAAAGCATAAATGTATTGTACTATCACTGTTTTACTGTACTAATCCTTGCACCAGTAGGAGAGGATTGTATCAGATACAGAGAAGTCTGCTTCACTTCTAGTAAGGATCTGTTTGTGCAGCTTCTAGTGCATGATATATGAAGGTCCTGACTCTGTTCCCCATCACCCAATAGAACATAGAGTTCAAAACTTTATCCCCTCATTGCTTTTCTCCTCCACAACCAACAAAATCTTCTCAAGGACAGTTAGATCTGCAGAAAGCCCGAAGCCATCTCTTGTCCCAGGGTGTGGTTATTCCTCTGAAGAGCAGGTTCAAAGGATTGCATTCAAACCTGTTCACTATGCCAAAATCCATTTGGGGAATTCATCCTGTTCATGTGGAATCTGCAAGGTTGGTTAGTGCCTCTCTGAGATAAGAGAAGTACTTGGCGTCAGTTGACATCCAAGATGCTTATCTACATATTTCCATTTACTCATCTCATCAGCGCTTCACAGAGGAGACAAACACTTCCAATTTATCGCACTGCCATGTGGCCCAGAGTATGCACAAAGATACATGCACCTCTTACCCTCTTAAGAACTCGGGAAATTTAAGTAGCAGGGTACCTAGACAACCTTCTTCTGAACTATCTGCAAATGTCCAAAGGACTATTCAGATGCTTCAGGCCTTTGGTTGTGTAATCGGCTTTCAATAGTCTGCTCTGCTTTTCTTATAGCATAACTAAGGCCTCTTTCTGGACACAGCCAAGGCAAAAGTCTTTCTTCCAGAACACAAAATCCTATCTCTAAGATGTCATGCTTGGATCAAAGGATTAAAGTGATATCCCTCAGTGAGATTCTCTGAAAGTTCTGGGCCTCATGGTAGCTTCATTTGATGTTGTCCCCTTTGCTCAATTCTATTCAAGGCTTCTTCAATGCAGCAATTTATTGGCGTGGAACAAATTCCTTCTTTCAACCTCTCTGTGCGCCACTCAGTTAAGCAAGGAACTCCCTAGCTTGGTTCCACCAAGCGGGTACATTCTGATCACCTAATGGGTGGAGAAACACTGTTCATCCCTCTCTGCTGCTCAAATCCTAGGAGTGGACAAGAGGGTTGGTGGATTACCTCAGTTGATAACGTCTGGACCAAGACAATCAGCCTTTCCTCCCAGCATCTTCAATTTCCTATTTTAGAAATGGCGAAACTCCAGATGTGGACATCTTGGCCTTCAGGTTTAACATGTTACCCCTATAGGATCCTCTAGAACTGGCATTGGATGCCCTGATACTTAACTGGACCCCGGTCCGGTTCTTATACCTTTACTCCAGTGCAAATTCTGTCTTACCTGTTCTGCCAAATATAGCAAGTGAAGAAACGTGGTGATTCTCATTGCACAAAATTGTCCCAGGAGAACATGCTACACAGACATACTTAGACTTCTAAAAGACAATTCCTGGCTTCTTCTGAACATGACAGACCACCCGTCTCAGGGCTCCTTGTTCCATTCTGCTTGTCAGTCACTGGCTTTAATGCCATTCTGTTGAAACCTAGGTCTTTATGGACAGATGTGCTTCTAATTTTATAATTCCCACATTGCTCAAAGCCAGGAAAGCCACTTCCAAAAAAACAATTATTATTATTATTATTATACATTATTTATATAGCGCTAAAAGGTTTGCTCAGCGCTGTACATTATAGTGGGGGACAGTACATGAGACAATACAGTAACAAAACAGAACACGAGGGATTCAAGGGCCCTGCTCTTTCGAGCTTACAATATAGGAGGGAGGGGATAGTGGTACAGGAGGAAGTGGGTGATGGAGTGGTGAGAGGAGTGGAGGAGATCGGCTGTTAGGTGAGGGCGGGGTAGGCTTCCCTGAAGAGATGGGTTTTCAGGGTGCACCTAAAGGTGAGGAGGGTAGGTGACAGTCTGATGGATTGGGGTAGTGCGTTCCAGAGGATGGGGGAAGCCCTGGAGAAGTCCTGCAGTCGGGCGTGGGAGGAGGAGACCAGGGAGCTAGAAAGTAGGAGGTCTTGTGAGGAGCGAAGATTACGGGTTGGGTGGTATTTGGGTATCAGGTCAGTGAGGTAGTTTGGGGCAGCATTATGAATGGCTTTGTACGTCAATGTTAGTGTTTGAATTTAATGCGTTGGGCAATCAGGAGCCAGTGGAGGGAATGACAGAGGGGGGTGGCAGAAGTGGAGCGGTTCGTAAGGTGGATGAGTCTGGCCACTGAGTTTAGGATAGACTGAAGCGGGGATAGTCTGCGACGAGGTAGGCCGGTGAGAAGGGAGTTGCAGTAGTCCAGACGTGAGATAATAAGGGAGTGTACGAGTAGTTTAGAAGTGTCTGGGGTTAGGAACGAACGTATTTTGGAGATGTTGCGGAGGTGGAGCCTGCATGAGTTTGCCAACGATTGGACATGGGGTTGGAATTACTCTTTTACTTGAAAATCCTTTGACTGGTGTGAACACGGGCATTTTAATCCCAAAGGTTTTTGTGTCTCTGGCTTAATTTTCTTTCTTCTTTGCCTTTCTACTTCCTTCAACCTCAAATCTTCTCTCTCAACTTGCTAATTCATTGATAGCCCATCTGTCTTTTGTAAAACTGTTTCATGGAATCCTTTTTTTACTATGCTAAAATCAGTAAATATATTGAAATGAAAATAATTTTACTCTGTGTTTCTCAGATTAGACCACTCTTACAGCATCCTCTGCTTCCTTGGAATAGTAATCTGGTTCTCTCTGCCCTTCAGGAACCACCCTTTGAATCCATTGGGGATCCTTTCTGCAAAGTGCCCTACTTACTGACTATTATTTCTGTCAGATGTGTATCCGAACTAGCGGTCACAAGCACCTTTTTGTTTAAGGTGGTATCAAGCTTCCACCTTATTGAATACATAGACCATCCTTGTATCCTTGATTCCTTCTCTTAAGCATCCCAAAGAGATTGCTCTTCAGTGTGTTGCTTATCTAAAAGCTACAGCATCTATAAGACAGACTAACTCTCTTGTCTTGGCATTAGGGTTTTGCAAATCACATCTTGCTACAAAATCCACTATTGCCAGGTGGATGAGACAACGCATCTCAAGAACTTACACTCTAAAGGATAAAACACCACCTGCACTCCTACTTGCGCAATTCACCAGATCATTGTTTCCTGATCATTCCGACACCAAGCCTTTACGAAGCCACCATATGGTCTTCAGGTCATACCTTCTACAAACTCTACCAGGTGCACATCCAGGCTTCTGTGGAAGTAGTTTTGAGCCGCAGGGTTTTTTAGCAGCTTGCTGAGTTGAGTCCTCTGACCCTTGTTGTTGGGCCTTTTTGCACAATTCTGTTTGCATTGGTTTTGCCCACCCTTGTTATTCATTGCTTGGGGACATTCCAGGGTTTATAAATATCCAGCCTGTGTTTTTGTACTGTACAATTAATGAGGAATTTTGACTTGCCGGTAAATTTCATATCTTGTAGTACAGGACAACAGGTCCATTCTTCTGTTACTGTATTACTCAGCATTGCTTATCCAGCTTGATCTGGTTTCTACATACAGATCTGACACAGCCCCAGGTGTGCCCCTGTCCTTGTAGACTCACCTTGTGAGTGAAGCTGGCCATAGATGGATTAAAATTCAGCTGCCTGGTTCAACAGGGACCAGCTGAATTTCAATCCATATATGGCCTTTCCTGTGCCAAGTCCTATGATCGACTTCTCTCAAACTTGCTTGTTGGAAAATTTTCCTTGGATCAGCACTGCAACCTTGCAGCCATTCAGCTGCAGCGCTGATCAGTGTATTATGACAGCGGAGCAGTCCCCACTGTCAGAATATAATAAGATAGCTGGCAGGAGTCTAAGGAAAGTTTCTTTTGTCCCACACATCCAAAATGATGAGTTGCAACAGCCTGGAGTGGAGTTGGGCATAAAGAAATACTTCAAAGGAGGCCCAAGATCCTTATGCAAAAGTGGAGGGAAGGACAGCCCCTGGACTGAGCCTAAATGTGGGAATGGAGAGTCAGAATTTTTCCCTGAGGGAGGAAACTCTCTGGACTGGGCTGCATCCAGAAAGCCCAGATACTACAAACCATGGGTCGGTTCCAGCCTCAATCTCTGAAGGATCAGAATTTATTCAAACATCTGCAGGGTTTGTCTGTCTGAAATGCCTGAACTGCCCATTCCCAAAAGAGAACGTCTTCCAAGTATCCCATAATGGGGGTTCCTTGTGAGCAAAGCAGGGCAAGCACACAGGCCAACACCTTGGTGAAAATCCAAGGTGCAGTGGACAGTCCAAATGGAAAGGTCACAAACTGGTAGCCCTGAGTGCTCACAACAAAACGCAGGAAACACATTGGTGCACTGGTAAAATAGGGACATATAGATAAGCCTTCTTCATTTCCAGAGAGGCCAGGAATCCCTGATCTCTGTGACTAATCCTATTGATTCCATGCAACATTTTTGACCTACAAGGAGTTGAGACCCTTTAAATCCAGAATGGGATGAATTCCCCTATTGACTTTTGGAACTGTGATCGGGTTGGAGTAAAACCCGTGTAAATGTTCCATGCATGGAACCAAGGTAATATTACTCTAACTTATGAGCTGCTACAAGGCAGCAAAGTGGTCTACATGCTTTTGCGGAGTAGATGGAAGGTTAGTCCTTACATGCTAGGACATTCTCAAAAGGGACTGTCTTGTTAAGAAAGGTAATGGCCAATCTGCCACCCTGTCAGGAGTAGGCCAATCCTTGTACAACTGTATCATTGAGTGTACAGAGAGTAAATTAGCTGAGGATTCTTACTGGAACCCATGCTCATAGCCTTCGGTGTGGTGGCAGGTCTAGACTTGTACAATCTGAATTGTGTCTGCAGACAGACTCTCCTTGCTCCATGATACCCATTATAGAAATGCCCCCCCCCCCCCCTCTTCCTTTTACAGACTATGCAGAAACATCTGCTGGTATCAGGAAATTCATGTACAAAGAACTTTTGAAGCACTTTCTAGCTTAATAATTTATAATTTTTGGCGTATAATGTGGTTTGAATTTTATAAGGTGTGAAATTCTGTGTATATACCGCAACATATATCCTGTTTTTCAGAAAGGTTTGATTTTAAAATGTGTATGTTATGTTTTAATGTGAAATATTTGTTTTGTTACTACTAGCATACCTTGAGCAATCCCTTTTTTGCTAAATAAAGCTCCACTATGTGGTTTGGAGGTGTTCTACCCTGGCAAAGATTGTAAAAATTCAGTCATAGCTCAGCTTACTGAGATTAGTACCATTACCTGGAGAAAATGTACTTTTTTCTGTGGGAGGTAACATGTTGCTTCTTTCTCTCCTTATTTCAGGATGCAGCAACATCACGTATTTTGACTCTCATTTCCAAAACAATCCAGACCCTTGGGAGTGTAGGCAATTTATCAAAGAGCAAAACTGTAAGTTTTTTGTATTAGCATTGTCTGTCTTGTGAACATGATTTGTAACATACCATACATTATCTTCTGCTTTGCCAATTCAGTCTAGCTTCAAAGAGCCATTTATGTGTGATTTCTACAAAATGTTTGAAGAAGAAACCTACACAGCTGATGTTAAAAAGGTTTGTTGATCTTGACTTTATATTGGCCATTCTCTGTTTTATATTTTTGGTTTTAGTCAAATGCATCTATATGAGTTGTGTTCGATAGAACAGGCCCAAGTACAGCTTCATTGGACATTTGATGACTGCATACAATAAACATAATGCCTTTAAAGTACCACTTTGGGCATATGGTAGATCTGCGTTACAAGAGCAGGTAAAAACTTCTAAGTGCAAAGCTAAGACCTCAATAATCACAATGGCACTAGAAGGTCATGTTCCTACATTAGTGGCCAGTATCTAAGCATGCAGTGCATTTCCTGTAAATCTGATCAACGGGACAGCCAGTAAGGTGGGTTAGCAGTGAAAAATGAATTTAGAAAAGTTAAAGATGTTAACCAATTTATTTACCTTACTATCAGATCTGCATTATTTGTGAAAAGAAAATGCCCATCCAGTTTCCAGTTTTTCTACTAAAAACACTTCTGCTGTATGGTATACAATGCAGTAGGACCTAAAAAATGTTTTATAAAAGTTTTCGTTAGGTTTCTCTTGTAATTAGAAAGTGTTAATGAATAGGTGGTTTTATTGTGTGTTTGTATGTGTGTGTGTGTGTGTGTGTGTATATATACACACACACACATATACATACATACTTTTTTTTTTTTTCTCTGTAAAATGGCTACAAATTTGGTCCAGCGCAAAGCCCTGCCATATCCATCCTGTGATGGACTGGGTGAAAGAGCAAGAAGGTCTACAGAGTGTTGAGCAAATCAAACCAGAAAAAGGGATTTTTAAGTTGCTCAAAAAATCGACACGTTTCACCAATTTTTGCTTCTTCAGGAATTTTACAGATAATTGCAATTATCTGTAAATCTGAAGAAGCCAAGAACTGGCAAAACATGTCGAGTGGGAATTGTTGCATTGTGAACTCTGAGCCACATGGAGCGCCTTGTTGGATTTAAACCTTCACAACTACAAATGTAATGTAGTTTTTTTTATAACATTGCAATAAAATGTTGTATGATTTTAAAACCTCAAACGTTTAAGATTTTTTGAGCACCTTAAAAAAAACCCTTTTTCTTTGTATATGGGTTGGTATTTAATATATGGGATGCGGGTCCAACTGACCTACACCCAGCCTGTAACAATTTAGAAAAAATCAAACCAGAGAGAACAGGTAACCCCCAAAGTGAATAACACGGGACTTTACAGGCAACTACAAAGGATACTGAGGTAAAATACAAAAAGAGCTTTATTGAGCATTAAAAAATTAGGAATAATTGTATATTTAAACCCATAAATAAAACAAAAATATGGATGGCTGTTTTAAAGAAGGCAAAAACCATTGGCTTGTATGTGTAGAACATCCTCAGTTGTTTCACTAAGACATCATACTTGTCACGACAGAATGTTTTAGAATATTTTCTTTCTTCAGAGGTGAACAGTGGAAGAGGATGGTGTAGATGAATTCTTTAATATAATAGGTCACAATAGGATACAATCAGAAATTTTTTTATGGTAACATAATTTGAAAACATTACATATATAGTAGCAGTAAATACATACCATCCTATATCCATACGTTGAAATTACACCTAGCCATAAAATAAATCCAGACTGCCAATATCTGCTAGCACCCACAGAGATGACTGAATGTTGGAATCCCACTCGTCCAGACAATCCCAGCACTGGGGTCACTGTAACACAGCCCCTGCCAAGATGAGAAATGAAAAAACAAATAACCATGACAAAAAGGTATAAAGTTTGTGTAATAAGCCTATATATATATTGAAAAAAAAAAAATAAATACCTGCATCAAATATCAAAAAGGCAATTCAAAGGAGGGCTTGTAGATAATAGATCCATCCTATAGAAAAAAAAATGGGGACGGTATCGATATATATTGTTAATAGTTGCACCCAGGAGGCTTATAATTCGTAAAAAATAACCAATATAAGTCTATGTGTTGATCTGATCTATTGCTCTGCCCAGTGAGACCAGGCATTTTTATATTCCATTATAAGCATATTCATCCTGTTGCGGGTACATTGTTGCAGATTATTTTCCCATTCTGTTTTTAAAATTTTCATCTAGTTCAAATCAAACCAGGGTAAGTCTGCACCAGGTCAAAACAATCAAATAACAGTGTACAAGAAGCCACTGTGCAGTTGTGATACCAATTAGACCATTAAAATAATAGAAAAGCAGCACTAAATATGCAAATAAAACACACAAACAAAAAAATCATGTGTGAAAGTCCTTAACAGTCTGTGTAAATAAATCTTCAACATAAACAACTTAGTCCCACGTGAATGTGTAGATATAATTAATTCACAAAAACGTTGTGTAGAGAAGGTCACAGCTCATCCGTTGGCTAATAGTGCACAATTAAACTTGAATGGATCTGGCAAACCATAACGTTATAAATGGTGTGTGTAGTATATTTAAATTCAATGCCTTTTATTAGATCCAAAAATTTCATAAGAAATATTGTGATTAAAACTGTACAGCTTCACCACATATGAACACCGTTTAAGCAAGAAAACAATAGCAGGCTGATGGCTTATGAAACTTTTTTCCTATGAAATTTTTGGATCTAATAAAAGTCATTGATTTTAACTATATTACGCTATGGGAATATGTGTTTTTTCTTTGATGCCAGTCTCGGCAAGTGGAGACGCGGTATCTGATCCTATGCTGGAAGCCAGTGAAGGAACAAACTACCCAAGCGAGTTTGACCATTTACAACCTTTTATGGTCCACCAGATCTGGTAAGAGACTTCTATCAATGGTGGCACACCGTCACGTCTATGGTAGTGAGCTCTATAAAACCACAGCTTGGGGTTTCCCAGGGCGCGTAGTCTAAGCCCCAGCCTGCTTGTTCACCAGGCTCCTGATGGTGGGGATGGACTTGGAGCAGGCTGGAACCAGGTTGCGGCCCCCAGGTACACCCAGCTGTGGTAGAAGAGACTGCTAGCGGGAGCAGGTTGCAATGGGAGTAGAGACAGGATATCCAGTAGGCAAGCCAAGGTCAGGACAGGCGGAACACTAGCGATGTCAGGAACGAGCCGGGGTCGGTGCACGGATAGACAATACAGGAGGAATGTCAGGGACGAAGCCGGGGTCGGTACACAGATATACTAAACGGATTCAGCAGAACACTGGGGAGCTCCAACAACAAACGTTGCTCAGGCAATGTGGCCCAGTCTGAGCACATCTTAAATAGACAGGCAGACAAGGAGGTGGGACAGGAAGTGATGGAAGGGAAGGATATAAAACCCAGGGAATAGCAGACGTCGCCCATAGGTGAGCACAGAACAACACACATGTGAAGGAATCAAGAGCAGCATGGAGGTAAGAGTAAACACACAAAAGGCTGCAAGCTAACTTGTGACACACATGGTAGTGGAATCCTTTCAAGTTTAATTGTGCACCAACGGATGAGCTGTGGCCTTCTCTGCACAACTTTTTTGTGAAGTGATTATACTGTATCTTCACATTCACGTTGGACTAAGTTGTTTATGTTGAAAATTTATTTACGCATGGACTGTTATGGACTTTCACATATGATTCTTTGTGTTTTATTTGCATATTTAGCGCTGCTTTTCTATTATTTTAAAAGCCTACAGAGTGCCTTCGCCTTGTGTGGAAGAATCAAATGAGCATACCCCTTCCCAGTTAGAGTACAGAGAAAGCATCTGCATGTGTAAAGAGAATAATTGTGGTGAAAATGGGCCTGTATGAGAGAGAAACTGTCTCGTGAGTGCCCTTATTCTATATCAGCCATGCAGAGATAATTTTATTTTTATTTTTTTTACTGGACATATTTAATAGCAAAAAGTCAAAAATATAGTTTTTTCTCAAAATTCTTGGTCTTTTTTTTTTTTTTTTTTTTTTTTTTTTTTTTTATAGCGCATACAATAAAAACTAAACAGTTGATCAAACACCACTGAAAGAAAGCTCTATTCGTGGGAAAAAAAGGACATAAATTTAATTTGGGTACAGCGTTGCTTGACCGCGCAATTGTCAATTAAAGTAACGCAGCGCCGTAATGCTAAAAATTACCTGGTCAGGAACGGGGGTAAATCCTCAGGAGGGCAAATGGTTAAAGTGGTTGTAAATGCTTACATATACCCAGTGAAATGACTGACCTTGGGAGATAGACAGAGATGAAACAAATCCTCCTACGTAAGTTGTGCCTGTTTATCTGCAGTATTCTTTCCTCTGCATCTGTTGGAAGTGCTTAATTTTAAAGCTTGTCAAATAAAGGGGGATGGGGAGCTGAAATTACACTCTGCAGAGCTCAGTGAAGGGAGCTCTAATAGCTGATTAGAGGAAGAAACACACCCCCCTCCACACAGCTCACAGGAGCAGAGCTGAGGCTGTCAATCTGCTGGAGGTCCTCCCCGTCACCATTTTTTTTTTCTTGGTGTCAGGAAAAGGTATTCATGCTGATAGCAGAGGAACAGAGCAGCAGACAGAAATGACACTTAGTGTTCTTAATTGAGACACAGTACATATTATAGAGGGATATGCTTTGCTCATATTTTATGTCTGAGATTTACAACTACTTTAGGTTAAATATGATTGAATATGCACACTGATGTGAATATATACATTTCTTTTCCCCAGTAGATTCTGCATAAAGTTATCATTGTAACACTACTCTTCCTGTCTAGTTTTTAGAGGAAATATCTTCAACTGAAAGTAAAGAGCCGAGTGGAATGAGTGAGTCTGTCATTCTAAAAGATGGGTAATTATAGTAATTTATTCGTAGTTTTGAATTTGGTAAACCGAAAGCTGGTACCCTTTTTAGAACAGTAATTCATTACTTGGTTTTCCCCTCTACAGAGAGATGCATAAACGTGCCCAAGGTCGAACCCGTATTGGAAAGAAGAATTTTAAGAAACGCTGGTTTTCACTTACAAGTCGAGAATTTTCATACCACAAACAGAAAGGTGAATGTATGTCAAAGCAAGTGTCCACAAGTTGGCCATCTATGATGATTGTTGTTATAAGAAGCATTCACCCATTATGTGTTGCCAAAGAGCAATGAATCTCCGTGAACTTCTTAAACACTTGACATGAGTATGTTTCTATTGATCAGTGTCAAAAACAAGTATACCTAAGGTTGAAACTTTTTAAGGAAGGGTTAAGGGTTTTTTTTTTGTTTTTTTTTAGCTTTCAGTGTCCCTGCTGGGAAGAGTCACTCTCTGTTTCTTGATTACTATTGTCACTGGACTGAGGAAAAACAAAAATTTTTATGGTGTCGCCAAACAGAACTAGAATGCAAACTTTCCAGACACCTGTTCCAGTTACAGCAGTCTAAGGAGGGATTTCCCTTACTTTGGAGCCATCTCCACTCAGTGTTGTATCTACAGGACAAGAAGGGAAGGGGAATCTTCCCAGCATGACACAGGTAGCATAAAAGTCTGACGGGATTTTAGGAATCATTTTCTTTATCCGTAATATAAAAACAACTGGATTTAGGTATACATTCAAACCCCGTTATTCAATGTTCTATAACAATAAAACATGAAATCTTCCAAGAGGGGTATTTTATCCCTTGGCAGTTACAGCAGGAGGAATTACATGACATCTCAGTGAGCACATTGTCTAAAATTTCATACAGTGGCGAAAATAATTATTTGATCCCCTGCAGATTTTGTAAGTTGCCCACTTACAAAGAAATGAAGGAACTATAATTTTTATTATAGGTTTATTTTAAATGAGACAGAATATTAACCAAAAATCCAAAAAATACATGATACAAATGTTATAAATTGAGTTGCAGTTCAGTGAGTAAGATAAGTATTTAATCCCCTACCAACCAACAATAATTCTGGCTCCCACAGACTGGCTATGTACTCATGTGGTACAGAGATTAGTCCTGTAAATTTAAGAAGGTGTTCCAAATGACAACTCGTTATGTGTATAAAAGACACCTGTCCACAGAATCTTTCTTCCATTCAAACCTCATCACCATCATGGGCAAGACCAAAGAGCTGTTAAAGGACGTCAGGGACAAGATTGTAGACCTGCACAAGGTTTGAATGGGCTACAAGACCATCAGCAAGAAGCTTGGTGAGGAGACAACTGCAGGAGCAAATATTCGCAGATGGAAAAAATACAAAATAACCAACAATCGCCCTCGGCCTAGATCTCCATGCAAGATTTCGCCTCATGGGGTAAGGATGATCACGAGAAAGTGAGAGATCAGCCCAGAATTACATGGCAGGAGCTATTGAATGATCTCAAGGCAGTTGGGATCACAGTCACCAAACAAACCATTGGTAACACAATACACCGCAATAGATTGAAATGCTGCAGTGCCCGCAAGGTCCCCTTCCCCAAGAAAGCACGTGTACAGGCCCATCTGTAGTTTGCCAATGAACATCTAAATGATTTGGAAAAGGATTGAGAGAAAGTGCAGTGGTCAGATGAGATCAAAATTAAGCTCTTTGGCAATAACTAGTCTCGCCTTGTTTAGAGGAAGAAAACGCTGACTATGACCTTAAGAACACCATCCCTACAGTCAAGCATGAAGGTGGAAACATTATGTTTTGGGGCTGTTTCTCTGCTAAAGGTGCAGACCGACTTTGCCGCATTGAGGGGACAATGGATGGGACATGTATTGTAAAACCATGGATGAGAACCTTGTTCCCTCAGCCATAATACTGAAGATGGGTCATGGAAGAGTCTTCCAGCATGACAATGAGCCAAAACATACCGCCAAGGCAACAAAGGAGTGGCTCAAGAAAAAGCACATTAAGGTCATGGAGTGGCCTAGTTAGTCTCCAGACCTTAATCCTATAGAAAATATATGGAGGGAGCTGAAATTTCGAGTTCCCAAGCGACAGCCAATAAACATTAAGGATTTGGTGAAGATCTGTAAAGAGTGGATCACAATCCCTCCTGAGATGTGTACAAACCTGTTAACTAACTAAAAGAAACGTTTTTCTTCTTTGCTTGCTTCGCCACCAATTACTAAGCCATGTTTTGCTTGGGGATCAAATACTTTTTTTACTCACTGAACTGCAACTCAATTTATAACATTTGTATCATGTGTTTTTTCTGGATTTTTGGTTGATATTCTGTCTCTATCATTTAAAATACACCTATGCTAAAAATTATAGACCCTTCATTTCTTTGTATCTGGGTAAACTTACAAAATGTGCAAGGGACCAAATTATTACAGGTACTTATATAGCGCTGTTAATTTACGCAGCACTTTTACATGTATATTGTACGTTCACATCAGTATCAAATAATTATTTTCCCCACTGTATGGAAGGTCCTGATTCTGTACCATCTGAGGAGTATAAGAATCCAGTGGATAAACACATCATATTCCTGATGCCTGCACTATTTAAAAACCAGAACAGATATGGCAGCTTCTATAGTAGTATTCTCACAGCTTTTGAAGAAAGATCTTTGTTAAAGACAATCCCCAACATTCTCCAATTTGTAAACCTAAATATTCACTTTCATTGAACACGTCTTATATTTACCACTTGCCTACCAGGCACTTATACCCCCTTCCTTACCAGGCCAATTTTCAGCTTTCAGCGCTGCCGCACTTTGATTGACAATTGCGCGGTCATGCAACATTGTACCCATATGAAATTTTGATCATTTTTTTTCTCACAAATAGAGCTTTCTTTTGGTGGTATTTAATCGCCACTGGGCACTTTACTTTTTGCGCTATAAATTAAAAAAAAGTGCAAAAAAATTTGGAAAAAAAAAAAAAGTTTATTTGTTTCTTTTATAAAATTTTTCAAACAGGTATTTTTTCTCCTTCACTGATTTGCGTTGATGAGGCGGCACTGATGGGCACTGATAGGCGGCACTGATGGGCACTGATAGGCAGCACTAAAGGGCACTGATAGGCAGTAATGAGGTGGCACGGATAGGCGGCACTGATAGACAGCACTAATTAGGGGTCACGGATAGGCGGCACTGATATGCAGCACTGATAGGCGGCACTGATAGGTGACACTGATGATGGGTACTGATAGACGGCACTGACTGGCATCACTTCTGGGCACTGACTGGCGGCACTGACTGGCACAACCCCTGGGCACTGACTGGTGGCACTGACTGGCAGCACTGCTGGGCTGCACTGGTGGGTGGCACTGGTGGGCAGCACTGGTGGGTGGGCACAGGTGGGTGGCACTGGTGGGCACAGGTGGGTGGCACTGGTGGGTGGCACTGCTGGGCACATGTAGGTGGCACTTCTGGGCACAGGTAGGTGGCACTTCTGGGCACAGGTAGGTGGCACTGCAGAGTGGCACAGGTGGGTGCACTGCTGGGCACAGGTGGGTGCACTGCTGGGCACAGGTGGGGGCACTGCTGGGCACAGGTGGGGGCACTGCTGGGAACGGGTGTGGGCGGGGCTAGTGGGCGCACTGCTGGGCGGAACTTGCGGGTGTCACTGCTGGGCACCGATCATCGGGGCACTGATCATCAGTGCCCTGATGATCGGTGCCGATCCCCGCTCTGACAACTGCCGGTTCTCGGCAGTACTTTCCTCACGATCTGACAGCGTGAGGAAAGTGCAGCCGAGAACCGGAACTTGCATTTCCCTGTGATCAGCGTGTCATTGGACACCGCTGATCACGTGTTAAAAGACCGGTGGGATTGGCCTTTCACACCACATCACGTGATCAGCTGTGTCCGTAGGACACAGCGATCACGGAGATCGCCGGGTGCGCGCCCCCTGGGGCGCACAGGAGAGCGCGTTCTGGGAGGACGTCATATTCCACTCAGAACTGGCCGGCCGCGGTGAAGCCGTCATTCTTTGCTTGCGCGGTCGGCAAGAGGTTAATTGCACAACCTCAGTGAGTGCAGCCATCTATATTAAATGCTTATCTTCTTCCCCGTTCCTGGACACCTGGAATACAGCTCACCCAGTGGGATGAATGTGGCTATTGGGTGTGACTGCTTAGAAGAGAAGCTGGTGGAGATGCATTTGCTTGGAAGGTTGTGCAGCTTTGAGCAGGACTGCAGCATAAAAATTGCTGGAATGGGAAGGAAGGAGAGTGTTTACAATTGCAGACAGCAGGATAGTTGGACAGTTAAGTTTAGAACAAGTTCACGAGAAGTGCATTTGCAATCTAGAGATCTATGCTTTAATTTTTCATCTGTTGCAACTTGTTCCTGGTCCTGAAACACTTCTTGAATAGGAAACACATTCTAGTTTTCCACTTGCTTGTTCACTGGATCACTATGTATTAAAACAAGGATAAGAAGGAAAGCCCAAAGCATGCATAGTCAAAAACAAATCGGTAACAACAGCTTCTATATTCTAACAGGTTCTCTTAAATGACCCATTCTCTTGTATTCTCTAAAAAATAAAACCCTGTAAGAATAGAAGGCTTATGTTTGCCCCTACAGCAGACATCAGGGAATTTCTTTACACATTTGCTGTGCTGGAATACTACTGCTTTCCAAAACGTTCAGGTGTTGGGTAGTGTCCTCCACTTTATTGAAATCTACTGATTATTTCGCTGGCAAATTGGACATCTTTTATGGCTTCACAACATAATACTGGCATTTTCTGAATAGTTTGAGGGTCTGCTTTTGTCCTCCTTAAGCCAGTGACTACAGGAGTATATTCTTGGTATGGTTTATCTCTTTTGTTCTTCTGTGTATAACATATAAAATTCTTACTGCTCAAGTAACCTCTGTGACATACTGATCATTTTACTTTTATTAACGGGTATACAGACCTTTCCAGAAGTAGTTTGTTGCATTGGCTCTGTTACCTCCGTGTAAAAGAACTGGATAATCATTATTTTGGTTATGGCATTAATCTAGTAATCCTTTTTGTTATTGACAGATAAAGAGCCAATGTTTCGTATTCCTATTAAAAATATATTGGCTGTGGAGAAGCTGGATGAAAATGCCTTTAATAGGAACAATGTAAGTACCAAACCTAATCATTTTTTCTTTTATTTATTGCTGAATTTATTAAGGATGTATGCTATGCCAAAATGAAAAGGCAAGAAATAAAACCTGGGTGAAAATGTGTTTGCTTTACAGATTCATATAGCAGGTAAAATAAGTATTGAACACGTCACCATTTTCCTCAGTAAATATATTTCTAAAGGTGCTATTGAGACACTTTTTTTTTTTTTGTAATACAAATGTTAACTATGGTGTTCTTGTATAAATCCAATTAAATAACTAATGGGATTGTCATATTTTGTGATCTTACATCTGTGTGAGCTGGATAGAAGTATTGCACCACATTATAATTTAGTGCCATTTATGTTTTGCCTTTTATCTGTGGGTTGAGATTCCACTTTGTTCTGTGTGCTTTGGAATCAGTATTGTTTATTCCTGGTCTTCTCTGTATTGTGGTGATATTTGATAATACAGTGCCTGTGTCTTCTGAGATCATTGGAACCACATTTTACTTTCTGTTTTTCACAGATGTTTCAGGTGATCTATGGAGAGAAACCTCTTTACATCCAAGCAAACAACTGTGTAGAGCTGAATGAATGGATAGAGGTACTCAGTAGAATAAGCCGACGCAATCAGCGGAGACTCAGCAAGTATCACTCCTCTGCTTTCATTAATGGATCCTGGCTCTGCTGCAAAGCATCAGCTGAAAGTGCTGAAGGCTGCCACATGTGCACTGTGTAAGTGTGACAGAAGGGGTTGCATTTGTAAAACCAGTAATTAGATCTAGTTATAGATGTGTGCAAATGGAATTTACAGAATTCCAGGGATAATATAACTGAACAACTCTTGTACAATGTCTGATGATAAAAAGCATGAAACTTTTGTGCCTGGAAGTGTGCCCAATTTTGTCAGCATGTCCCTGCCAAAAAGCTGCTTGCATATATTCAGCAACCAATTTAATAGGAACACTATAGTAAAAGTGGGGAGTGCCTTTGCTCTCAAATGCTCTCAGTTTTTAGTGGCATAGCTTTCCTCAAACATTCCATTGAGATTCCAGGCAATGTTGACATGGTTGCATCACATAATTTATGCGGATTTGTCAGCACATTCATTCTGCAAATCTTCCATTCTGCCACATCCCGAAGGTGTTCTACTGGATTCAGATCCATTGGCTGAAAAGGCCCAACACTGAACTCCTTGCCATGTTCATGAAAGCAATTTGAGACTACTCTTGCTTTGGCTTTGCAACTGTCCTGTTTTGGCGACCTTGCACCCACCACAGCTCCAGCTTTCTGTTCTTGCTGACGGAAGTGGAACTTCTGTATGATCTTACAGTTCAAGATGTGCATTTTGAGATGGTTTTCTTCTCACCACGGTTGTAAAGAATTGTCATCTGATTTACTATAGCCTTTCTGGCAGATTAAACCAGTCTGGCTGTTCTTTGACTTCTCTCAATAACAAGGTATTTCCATCTGCTGATCTGTGACTCACTGGATGTTTTTTGCCTTTTGTACCATTTTGCATAAACTCTAGAGACTGCTGTGTGTGAGAATCTCAGGAATTTAGCATTTACAGAAATATTCAATCCATCCGGTTTGGTACCTACAATAACGACATGGTCAAAATCACCATTATTACATCTTTTCCCCTGTTCTAGTGTTTGATGCAAAAATTAACTGAAAATATTGACCATAAAATTGAGTTGGGCTGCTCCTATCTGAAATACGGATAAGATAATTGCATGAATAAGCAAGTAAACAGGTGTTTCCAATAAATTGTTTAGTGAGTGTACTGTGTGCCTGATCACATCCCATGTGCTCAGTATGACTCTCGAACATAATCTTGGGCCTTTATTTGTATCTCAGCAGCTGTTGCCAAGTTGAGTATTCATCAGTCCCCTTAACTGCTGCTTCAACTCTGTTGAATGAGCTAGAACATGGTCCGCACAGACAGCAGTGCATCAGCCCTTTTTTAGTATGTTTAACCCAAGTTTAGTGTACATTGCTAAGTACAATGCACATTGTTTGCCTAACGTTTGTCCATGTGGTGGGGATAGTTTGGGGTATATGTGTATATATATGTGTGGACACTTGGGAATGAACATTGAGCAATGACCCTCATGGGTTGGTTGCTTTGCTGTGTGAGTACCCCCCAGGGAATGACATTATCTTGGGTATTAACTTCCTGCAGAAGGTTATCCTTCAGAAAGGGCACGATGTCACTAACCTTTAGAAATGTAAGTTATGTTGGGGATGAGCTCATGTTGGAGGTGAGGTTCAAGATAGGGGTAACATATAATTTTGCTATATGGAAATATTTAAAGGAATGGTTCACTTTTAAAGTGGATATCTCCTTTAAAGATTTACATTGTGAACTGTTAATTTCTCTGCAACTGTATCTAGAGCCCAGTAGAGATGAAGCTGTCCGCAAGAAGTGTCTGGCTTCTATCACATCCATGACCTGGGAATTGGTGTCCTTGCAGCTGTGTATCAGAGTGTTCTTTGTTTGGTACAGTATGTCATGAACTAATTAATACCTTGCTCTGATCTTCATTTTAACAGAAATGTTCCAGCTGACGTAGCATTGGATATAGATGGAGATCGTGAATGTGAGAGGATATATTCTCTATTCAGCAGGAGCATGCCTAAACTACAAAAGATGGAGGGTAATTTAACCATGGGTTCAAACAATGATATCTTGTGGACTTGTCTGTTCATATGCTAGTCACATGGTGTGGGAGATTGGTTGCTCATCGGTCTTTATTGCAAGATCACTACTATGTGGCATGATAACCACGTACGGAGCTTTCCCTTTACATTTCACTGACCGAACGCTTTAATTAGCATGCCAAATCCTTTTGTTACCCATATACAAAAGAGTTGGCAGTCACTTGTTTTTCGGTGACTCGACTTGGACTTTGATTCCTGACAGCAGAAACGTTTGCATGCATGACAAACAGTGTTTGCTACATTTGTTTGGCAAACCTGCTGAACTTCCCGGTCAGCTGTGGGGGCCAGTGTACCAAAAGTTCAGTGTGGTTCATTCAATCACTGGTTGCTAGTTAAATCTAAAGTGACCTGTTTTGTAACTTTGACCAGGAATGCATATTCTGTTTTGTAACTTACTATTTTCAATAAACAGAGTTTTAAAAAATATTCATATATAAAGTGACCTTTCGCTGCCGACAGTGAGAGCACATGAGGCAACTTTGGTATATTCACCTGAATTATTTTCAACTGTAGTGAAGTGGACTCCATTCAATAAGCCAGTTGGTTCAAGTGTTTCAGATTCCTTTTACTTTCCAATAGTTTTAGTTTTTATTATACTTTTTAAGATTTGTGTACAAAACAAGTACATACTCTTAGAGAAACTATGCAGTACTACATTTTACCAAATTACAACTGTTCAACCAGAAACAAACAAGGTTGCTAGCCATATAAGGTTTTATGGTCAGGAACCTGAGTTCAATTGTGGAGGTCACCTTCCAGCCCCCCCTGCTTCAAGGTACAGTGGATTTTGGGCCAGGGGTATCCCCCAGGGGAAAAAAGCACAGGCCACGAGTGGTTTCTGTCATAAAAGACCTCACTACAAACTGGTAAGACAACTGGTTCACAAAAAACAAAGCATGTTCACTCCCACTCATATAGCGTGTTGTCCTAATGGACTGGTCTGGGGATGAATGCACAGCTCACTATGAAAAAAAAAACTAAAAAAAAATGGTTTGGGTAAAGGAAAGGAAAGGAAAGAAGAGAATAGAATAGAGGATATAGACTCTGCTCCATTATACACAAATTGTCACAAGGGTCAGATGTAGGTTTTAGGTGTTTCCTGAAAGATATTTGATCCGGGGGTCCCATGTTTTCTCGAACAAGGTTTTATCATTCAGGATGGCAGTGAGTTTCTCGTTAACCATTATCCAGTTAGTTTAGACTTGACCATATCAAATGGAATAGTAGAATTCTAGGATCTAGCTATAGCAATGTATGCAGATACTTCTGAGCCTCCAATACCGGGTAGCCCGAAAAGGCTAGTTAAGTCTTTTTAAGATTTGTATCTCTTAATGCGTAAATAACAATTATGCACAGGGATCCAAAATCTTCATACTTTTGGGCAGGCCCACCAAACATGTTGGAATGAGCCTTACTGGCCGCAATCCCTGAAACACATAGCTAAGGCTCCAGGGATGCAAGAGGCTAATCATGTCAGTACCATATACCATTTAAGTAGTAACTTTATAGTTGGCTTCTATTATAGACGTATTAATATGTGATCTGGAAGCATGTCCTGCTGTCTTGTACCAATTCTAAATTTCGAATTCCTCATTCAGATTGCTTTCCCATTGAGCATATACTGATTTTGATAGCATTATGGAGTATAGTGCTGAGATGAAACCTGAGCGTATCTGCACAGTGCTTCAGAGGCTATACCTCCTTGGCGTTTCGCAGAAGATACAAAATGAGACAACAGTGTATAGTGATACAATTCAGTGTCTGGAAGTTGGTAATTTTCTCAAAAAGATTGGAACTTAAGGGCACTCCCACTTTGCATATATCAGCAATCCGCTGGAATTCCTTGTTGATCCACCATTTGAAAAATTGCAGGGGTTACTCCTGGGGTGAATGACAGGTTGTTAAACAGGGCAAGGGGACTATGGACAGAATTAGAATAATACAATACATTGAGTCTATCCCACAGGCTCAGAGAGAAAGAGAGAGCGAGCGTGGGACATAAAATTGTGGGTCCAGCTGCGGTTGGCATCCACATCAGGTGGCTAATGGATTTCGCAGTCAATATAGACTCTGTAGACATCCAAGGCAAAAAAAAAGTCTTTTGTGTGTGGAAGCTAATCAGTTGGACTAAATGTGGTGCTTGGAAGTATTTAAAAAAAGCCCTCTTTGCCTTTTGGGGACAACAGTGTTCACCTATTCACCCTGGGTCACATATTACCCCAAATAAATTTTAGTATTTTCCTTTGAAGTTACAGAAGGTCCGAGGTGTTTATAACCACTGGGAGAGTCCTAAGTAGTACAGGCAAAACATTCATCTTAATGGAGTATAACCTACCAATGGAAAAACAGAATGGTTGGCCGCACAAACAGCAATGTGGTGGATGAAATTCTTTATTGGAATCCTTTACATGCAATATAAGAACATGACAGCTCCAAGACATGATAGAGGAGCTGTAGACGAGTTTCAAACGAACACGTGCTTAGTCATTATAATTACTAAGCACGTGTTTGTGTGAAACGCATCTACTGCTCCTCTATCCTGTCTTGGAGCTGTCATGTTCTTCTGTTGTATGTAAAGGATTCCAATAAAGTATTTCATCCACCACATTCCTGTTTGTGCGGCCAACCATTCTGTTTTTCCATTGCATCTGTGATCACGGATCAGGCCAGCATCTGCGTGTCTGTGGAGGGGTTTGCAGATTCGGCACTCACCTGGAGCGGATCTTTTGCTCTTTCAGTATAGCCTACCAAAACATGAAAGGGGCTCGATATTCCATCTGTTCAGGTCGGCTAATAGTTTTTTGTAAAGAAGAGGATAGTTATTTTGATATGTTTGCAAAGATGGGGTTAAGTTGATACCTAGGTTTGGTAAGGCTTCCGATTTGCCATTTAAAATCAAAGTTTCTCTTCAAGTCCACCACAGTGCTAAGCAATAGATTCACGGGCTATGATTTTGTTCAGTTTACCGTAAGGCCTGATATGTTAAAAAAATTTTGTGAGGTAAGTTACAGATTAGGGATGGTGACAGTAGGGGAAGAACTAAGCATTAAAATATTGTCAGACAGTAAGGCACATTTGTGCTCTTGTGGAAATCCTTTGATATCTTGCATCTTAGCAGCTAGCGGTTCAATTGTCAAAATGAATGAAATGGGGGATAGGGGACAATCCTGTCAGCTTGTTCTCTGTATGCACAAGCATTGGGACTTATACCCTTTCACCAATATGGAGGCCAATAGGGTTTGCGTGCAACATACGTAAAAGTGTCAAAAAATGCGAGCCAAACCCATACTTGCATAATATAAAAAAAGAGGTGGTCCCAAGAAAGGGAGTCGAACGTTGCTTTCACTAGAAAACGCAACCCCGGAAAAACAACTCCACACCATAATCCCCCCTCCACCAAACTATACATGTGGCACAATGCAGTCAGGAAAGTACCATTCTCCTGGCAATCGCCAAACCTAGACACATCCATGGGATTGCCAGACAGAGAAGCATGATTTGTCAGGCGCTCCCTGAAAACCCACCTCTTCAGGGAAGCCTACCCCACCCTCACCTAACTGCTGCTCTCCTTCATTCCTCCTACCACTCCATCCCCCACAGCCACTTCCTCCTGTACCACTACCCCCTCCCTCCCAGATTGTACGCTCGAAAGAGTAGGGCCCTCTTACCCCTCGTGTGCTGTTCGTAGCTGCTGTAATGTTTCATGTATTGTCCCCCCCTCTATTGTACAGCGCTGAGCAAACCCTTTGGCGCTATATAAACTCAATGTAATGTAATAAATATAATGTAATTTGTCACTGCAGAGAACACGTCTCCACTGCTCTAGAGTCCAGTGGCGATGTGCTTTACACCACTGCATCCAAATCTTTGCATTACACTTGGTGATATAAGGCTTTGATGCAGCTTTTCTGCCATGGAAACCCATTCCATGAAGCTCTTTACGTACTGTTGTGCTAATCTAAAGGCCACACGAAGTTTGAAGGTCTTTAGCTATTAACTGTGCAGACAATTGGGGACTTCTGCATGCGCTTCAGCATGCACTGACCCCGCTCTGTCATTTTACGTAGCCTACCACTTCGTGGCTGAGTTGCTGTTATTCCCAGTTACTTCCACTTTGTTATAATACCACTAACAGTTGACCAAGGAATATTAAGTAGCAAGAAAATTTAACGGATGGACTTATTGCACAGGTGGCAACCTATCACAGTATCATGCTCGAATTCACTGAGCTCCTGAGAGCGACCCATTCTTTCTCAAATATTTGTAGAAGCAGTCTGCATGCCTAGGTGCTTGATTTTATACACCTGTGGCTATGGAGGTGATTGGAACACCTAAATCCAATGATTTGGAGGGGTGTCCCAGTACTTTTGGCAATATAGTGTATATCTGCCCTCATTATCTCTAATGACATTAGTGGACGTGAAGGAAATCCTGCATGAGAGGCAAAATCCCTACTCCCCTTTTTTTTTTTTTTTTTTTTTTTTTTTTTCTCTCTCCAGACTGTTGGCTAGGTAGGTGGAAAAGGTAGGATATTTATGATACAGATATTTGGGTGTGGAGGAGTGAGAAAAATGCATCTCCCGTAGCAACAAAATATCAGCATGCAGTCTATGGTAACATTGAAAGGCCTTCATTCACTTAGTCAGGGAATTTAACCCCTGTGCATTATGTGCAGATTCCATTCCTAATCCATCAAATTTAGTTAAACTCCAGGTATGGTTCTAATTGCACACTTTTATTGGTCCAAGCAGGTCAAATTTAAGTAAGCAATTAAGATTTTACCTGGAGTTCACCTTTAAATAAAACTAGTGGGAGTTGCCTCTGTTTACTTGGGTGAAGTGGCCACATCTTCCATAAATAAACATGGAAAGGTGCTGTTACTGTAGCCTTATACTTTTTTTTTTTTTTTGAGCAGACCTACTGTGTCAGCTAACAAGGTGGTCATGGTCATAGATTGGGTATAGAGACAAGGAGCCTTGACTTCACTTGTCTCATGCTTGTGTTGGGTCAGTGACTCAATGTATCAAATTCATTGGACCCGCATGGCAGCTACCATTTGAATGAGGAAGATCTGCAGTGACAGCCCTGCAGATTTCTATCATAATGGTGTGTTTCATCAAGTGTGATTACATTTTTTATGGGGGACTTTATCAAAAATGGTTGCAAAGAAAAATTGAAATAAAGTGTTGTCCATAAAAACATTCTTTGTTTCAGAATAGGGCCACCTACGGAGAACACCTCTTTCCCTCTAGTGTTTTGTTCTATATATCAGACTCAAGTGTCTTAAATTGTTCTTTTAGCTATTAGTCCATTTATTCAGCTGCCTTCTCTCATATTAATTTTCCTTGAGTTTAGAGCAAAGCAGACATAGACATCTTGGAAAATAAGGCTTGCTGTTGGGTATGTAGTCCTGTTGTCCCTGTTTTATTCCCCACTTTCAACCTACCACATTGCTGATCCTGTAATTTGTAGATAAGGCAGATGAAAAATAGGTCACGTGACTCACCAACATTTTAACGTGATAGTCCCCTCACACACGTTCGGACCATTCATTTCCTGTACTCAGTCATGTTTTTTCAAAGAAAACAGTGAACTTTTCATTGGTTTTTCATCAGTTATTTACATCCACTACCAATGCAAAAATGAAGCAAAAACGGACCATTTTCCTGTTTACATCTGTTTTTCCTCCATTCCAGGTTTTTTAAGGAACAAAAATAGGGCTTTGATCCATTTAAAAAAACGGATGTTGACTAATGCAGATTTAAACGGATGATCATCTGTTTACATCCACTTTTCCATAGAGATGCATTGATGTCCATATTTCATCCATCAACAGATGGATGAAAAATGGACAAACAGTTCCCATGTGTAGAGGGGACCTTTTAGTTTTTAGGCTATTTGACCAGCTAATTTAATTACTTACTGGGTATGCAGCTTTTTCATCTTTTAATCCTTGCTTAAGTTCAGTTCAAGCTGGTGCTATGACCGATGCCCCAGGTTTCCCAATTCAGGGTAGCTCCATGCACTTGCAATGTCTTATGGAACCACCCTTGCATGCTGTCTCTCCCTACACTGTGTGCAACAATAGAAATACACAACTTAGAATGGCAAGCACTCCCCTGCAACTCCTTTTCTTCAAGTTAAACTGACTGGAGACTGCATCATCCACTGGTATTATTTTCCTATGAAGACTGGAAGTTCAGGAAGCAGCACTGAGACAGCAGGAGGCAACCACATTGAAAATTGTGTTCAATGTGAAATGAAAAAGATGCTGAGGTTTTAATACTACTACTTCCTAGAATGTGAAATGTTCACTAAATGGCAATAAAACCTTGTATTTATTTAATTCATCTATTCAGTATTAACCCGTTCCTTAGCACTTGACAGAATATGCAGACCATCACAAAAGTGTGTGCCACTAAAGTAGCTTATGAAGCTTTATCGCTACTATTTGCATTCAAACATACACCTAGGGCTAGACTTTTTCTTTCCTCGGAAGCTAATTAAACCTTCCTTGTTTGGGGCTAAGGGAAAAAGTTGGGACAGCAAAATACAGTCTGTCAGTTTGCAAATCAAACCACCTCCATTATTTGTAAAGTTTAATGTGAAAATGAATATAGTTACATATGTACGCTTAGTGTGAAAATGCACATAAGTTCTTGGTTTGACCTTGGGTATGATGTGAATTACGTAATTTTTTTTTTTTCCCCCCATTTTAGAGGCTTGCGGTAGCATTGCCGTGTACCAGGGTCCACAGGAGCACAATGAATACCACTTTACCATAGATGATTCTGTGGAAACATTCAAGACCATCCAACAGATTAAAGCAATGGTAGAGAAGCTAAATGAACCGCACGAGAAATACAAAAAATATTGTACCAGTGCAAAATACGGCAGCCAGTAAGTATCAGTATAATGAGTAGTATTCTCAACATGATTACATTTCTTGCTGAGTCAGTTTATTTTTCTTATTGTCCATTGAGGGACACAGGTAGTCATAAAGGGTATATTACAGTACATGAAGGATAGACACTGGCAAACGAAACTGGTGGTCAACCCAATGTTTATATAGAATTTCAGAATGCATGTGTTACTTAAACCTCAATGAGATACTCGGTGTGCTGAGCAGATTTCTCCAGTCTATAAAAAAGGTTTATAATAATTCAGTTTGTTGGCTTAACGCCATACTGGTAATTCATGTAGCCTGGAGCAGTCCCTTATCTCCTCAAAGTTTTTCCCCAGCAGCTGCACATGTCAGTTTGTTGTCCAAGTCTCCATTTCACTCTGCAGACAGATTTCATCCTCCTTCACTTTTCATTTAAGTCCAATACCTTGCTTTCAGATCTGATGCTGAGCCCTGGGAGACACCAACAGGAGGGCTGTGGAATAACTCCACCACATTTTCTCATAAAAATAGAAAGAGAGAAATTACTTCCTTGTGCAGTATAAAAAAAAACTATTAATCCAACAATGTTGGCCCTCACTTAAAATCAGATTACTCATGCACAGCTCATTACCCATTGTTGGTCACTTATGAGGTCCATTAAAGGAGTAGTGTGGAAATATAAAAAAATAAACATACATACTTAAGCTGCTGCAGCATCTTTCCGATGTTGCAAGCTGTCCCTTGCCAGCTGTAAGCCTGAGAACTGAGCAATCACTTGGATCTACTCAGTTCTTGGATCTACTCTGAGCAGAGCTCTGTCAGTTACCACTCTGTGCTCTGCCCCTCCAGTGCTCACTGGAGCGCCAGGCATGAGCGGCCGGCTCAGGATCTCGGTGACATGCTGAGAGGCCGAGCCAGCTGCCTGTTGGGCATCAGGGTGGATCCTGACATTATTGCTGGGATTGGTCCAGAGTAAGGAAGGGGGTATAAGTGCCCGGTAGGCTAGTGGTTAAAGGATAAGTTAAAAAAAAATAAAAATGCACTTTTTTCTTCATAGGTAACAAAATGTATATTTATTATTATTTTTTTAGAAGCCTTCAGAGCATTGCACCCACAATCAGCAACCTGCGGTGTCAAGCTCTTGCAGACTGTCTGTACAGCTGTCTGCCCTTATTTCATGTACGGGCAGGCAGTTACCTAAGTCCAGGAAGATCGATGAACTACAAGAGTACTTACCAGCATCCTCACAGTTCATTGAGAACTGTAAGCTATCTGCCGCAGTGGCAGATGGTACTAGCAGTTCATTCATTCACAGAACTGTTATTATAGTGGTTGTGGGGAGATGATACTGAACTCGCTGTCACAATGCAGTTGGGGAGCAGGCAGGTGCTTTAGTAATATGTTACACCTTAAATATGGTTGTGGCACGTTACTAAGAGTGAACTTGGCCTTTAAATGATTGAATACAGTGCTAAAATGAATCCCTAAAAAAAAATGTCACTATATCTACAATAATCAGCTGTTAAAGAATTATATACCCTCCCAAACATTGCCTCCAGTGGTAATAAAGTGATCAGTGCTTTCAATTGGTGAAACAAAAAACATTTAAAATAAATCAACAGTAATGTCCAGTTTGTGTCATAGTTCTTTAGCTTATATCAAGGTGCTCGACAACACTCTTCCCTGTGTTGTATGTCCCTGATGACGTTCGATGATGAAACTGAGTTTCATTCTTTGGGTGAGTGGAAGCCAAAGTACTAACAACTTACAAAGCCATCCACAACTTGGCCCCCAGATACATCACTAACCTGGTCTCAAAATACAACCAAAACCATTCTCTTTGGTCCTCCGAAGACCTCCTGCTCTCTAGTTTCCATGTCACTTCCTCCTATGCTTGCCTCCAAGACTTTTCCCATCCTATGGAACTCCCTACCCCAATCTGTTTGACTATTTCCTAATCTATCCACCTTTAGGCAATCCCTGAAAACCGTTATCTTTAACCATCCTGGCGGTATTCCCGAGTGTAGCTCGGGGTTAACTTTCAGTACCAAAAGTGGTAACCCTGAGCTACACTCGGGATTACCCTGCAGCGTTGCTCAGGGATCCCTCTTGCATTTTCCTTGACCTGCGCTCCCGCAATGTCCCCCCTGCAGCGTCCCCCGCCATCTCCTCTGGCCTATGCTGGCATCCGGTTTCCGGGTTTCGATCCCTGTGAACGTTGGGATGTACGGGGACGGAACCGGCGGGAAATTTAAAAATGTTAAAAAGTGACATTCACTAAATACACTAAAACTCATAGTATAACATTACTGTATCAAACCATTTCACATACATTTTGTCCCTAGTGCTTTGTCCTGTGCCCTGCCTGCATTTTTACTGTTCTTTCTGCCTGGAAACTGAGAAAGGTCCATGGCGTCCAAAAAGCGTCCCTTTTAGATCAAAAGCGGTTTTAGACCAGCTAGAGAACAGCGATATTAAATCAGAACCACTTGCAGAATTGAGTGATAATGATTTGTGGGGAAATTCGTCATCAGACACTGAAAACGATTTTGCGACTTTGCTCGGTGATGTGCGAACTTGGCGCTATATTTCAAATTTCAGTGTTTTTAGATTGATTACATTATTGAATTAAATTATTATTTTTTATGATTATTATTTATGATTTCGTGTTTCAAACTTTGAGCACAGAAATATTGACATAATCATACCACTAGGGAGGTTAAATAAGCCTATCCTCCTTCTAATTAATGCAGTGTTTTTACTTTCTCCGTCAGCTCATACCCCCATAGTTATTACCCTTTGAATCACTTCTCCCTTCCTCTTAGATTGTAACGACCAGGGCCCTCTGATTCCTTTTGTACCAAATTGTATCGTAACTGTAATGTCTGCCTTCCTTTTGTAAAGCGCTGTGCACACTGTTGGCGCTGTATAAATCCTGTATAATAATGAAACGTGTTGGGAAGGTGTAGGCACACAAATGTCACCCTGCAGGGATACCCACTTGCAACAGGCAGGGAAGCTGGTGGAGCCAGCATATATACAGGACTCTGCTTGTACTGGATAGTGCTGGGACAAAGGCACAGGTTGATGTGAGTGCAATTTTTGTATGCTATTGACCTTTTTATATAGAAGGTTTTATGCTATGGCACCCTCTGTTGGATGGTCCCTGAGAATGAAATTCCAAAGAAGGAAAGCAATTGAGGATCTATAGGTGCGTGTGTGCGTGTTTCTACTGCCATACTGTAACAGAGAATTTCTGCTGGAAGAATAATTAGGGCCGTTAGACCTGCTTGTAACCAAGGGGTCTAAGCAAGTACTCGACCATCGGGAAAGCTTTCTTCATGAACATGGGTGAAGTACAACACTGTGGATTGCTTTGTTTATAAAATGAAACATTTTGATACAAGCTGGAAAATTGGAGCATACCATTAGGTTTACAGGTAAAGTGTTTGCATAGAGTGGTGTTAAAACATATTTAATTACTCACTAGGGGCCAGTTTCTGTCACGGTTAGTGATGGTTACTTTTCTCCACTGTCTAATACCACTGCCAGACTCCCTCAACATTTTTGGAAGGTAGAATCTATGTATATTATGTTAAGGCATTTATATAATATACAATAATACAATTTTTCACATATATTGAATTTCTTCTTTTATATATGTTCCTTAAAAATTGTTACAAACCCTGTACCTTCCATATTAAAACATGCCTAAAATATCCAAGTACCTTTAGAACACAACAGTGGCTCAATGCATGGCCAGCATGTCCCCTCATTATTATAAAAAACAATTTAGACTAAAATCAAATGTTCATAAACTGCACATCCACTTTGCTCTCTTTTTGGTTCCCTCTCCTCCATTTTGGTTCAGCTGTCTGAATAGCCATAATTTTCAGTCCCCTAGTGGTCACACCTAAAGTGTTGAGACACTGATCCCCCCCCCCCCCCCCTTTTTCTATATATGTCATTTGTTGCTGAACTTGTTTAGCTAAAGTCTGGTTAGTTCAGTGTACAGACTATTTGCCACATCCACAATCAAGATGTCAGACCACATTAGTAAGGTTACAGGTTGAAACGGAACTTTACCCATAGCAGCTTGATTAAAAATGTTCTTTAGCAAGAAACATACATTCCACATTAATAACTATATTACTAAAATTAGTATATGCTGTAAATTGTCTTCAGGATTGTTCATGTCTCTTCTTGCAGGAATCTGCCATTTTACTGAATCCCAGGTCCCTGAACAGCAAATCTTTAGGCTGTCAACAGATTGGCCTCTAGAAATTTGGCACAGTTCCAAAGAATAGAGAGCAAATGAGCATGTGCAGATCAGTGTGAGCCAGTGTATTGTATGCAAGATCAAAGAGGCGCAAGTCCCTAGTCAACTAATGTCACAAAGCTGCAAGTATATGAGGATATAGTCTCTTAACTATTTCATGTCCGGACACTTTAATTCCCTTCCTGCCCAGGCTAATTTTCAGCTTTCAGTGCTATCACACTTTGAATGACAATTGCGCGGGCATGCAACACTGTACCCATATGAATTTTTTAGCATTTTTTTGAGACAGATAAAGCTTTATTTTGGTGGTATTTATTCACCACTGGGATTTTTATTTTTTTTGCTATGTAAATGAAAACGTCCAAACATTTTGAAAAAAAGTTTTTCTTATACAATTTTGCAAATAAATAATATTTCATCATAAATCTTGGCCAACATTTATTCCGTTTATCTTTTTAGTAAAAAAAAAAAAAAACGAAATTAGTTTATAACCAAAAATTATAATTTTTAAACACTTTTTTTTACATTTTTATTTTTTTTTTTTATATATTTTTTTTAACATACTGTCACCCTAGCAGTACAGTGTCACCATGGTGACACTGTACTACTTGTGGGGGGTGATGAAGATTTTTTTTTTTTTTTTTACACTGATTGCTTTTACACCCATAAAGGCTGTAAAAGCAATCATTTCTCCTTCTTTCTGGCTGCATTCTTGCAGCCATTGAGAACTACTGTGTGAGCTGTGATTGGTCACAGCTTGTCATATGGTACAAAGTTGTTGTGAATAGCCTTGTACCATGTGACCTCTGTGATCATTTACAGATTTCACACATAATAAGCAATAATGTCAGAAGTGACACCTTGCTTACTACTCTGCATGTGATCACTGATTGGCCAATCAGTGATCACATGATCGGGACCTCGTATTAGAGTTGCCACCACCCTTGTTGGCTTAGAAACATTCCTAAAAGCCAATTTTGCAGATTACGCCATAACTGCACCCAGCAATCTAACTACATTTCACAAGGTACAATACTTAAAAATAAATTTATCGAGAAGGGCTATCCCCTCCCAATACAACGCCTTCCCTCTCTTCTTCATGTTTACTGCAATGGCTGTATCCTGAGGCATTGTTCTTTTGGGTCACACATGCACAATGTGTACTCACTCCTGTCGCCTAGGATGACCTCAGTGGCTGTGATAGCACTGTGGCTACAACATGTCTGATTCAAGACCCAGGGGGGAAGAAGTCTCACTTTACCAAGTGCCCCCACATTACTTTTTACTTACAGGTCAGGGGTGCTTGCAGTGTGCCTGCTGATGGTGACATCTGAAGCCTGGAGTCATGTCTATCCTTTGCAATTTATTCTCTTCTCTCCGCTGAGTCTTCCTTGGTTCTGTATGGTTTGGCTGGGTCATCTGTCCTCTCAGCTGAAGTCTTCTCTATGATCATGCAGGACTTCAAAAATAACCAGTCGTTTTCTAAATCTGATTGCTGAGACCACAAGCATGCTCCTGCACCCTCTCCAGTAGATTCTGTATCTGATTTGCAGCCTTAGCTGTGTCTGAGCCTCCGGCCACAGAGATGGTCTCATTCTGAGTTGCTTAAACCCTTATCAGGTGCGCTTGCACTCTAAAGAGTTGCAGTTCACTGCTATTATCCCCAAGACAAAGGAGACCGTCTTGGGGGGTGCACACTGACCTGAACGTAGAGGCTCAGCCTGTTGATTGCGGTTTCCAGCCTTTGGTCATTAAGAGCCCCTAAGGCTGAAAAGCCTTTTTCTTTTATATCCACTTTTCCAGTCACTGATTGTGAAGTCTATGTTAGCACAATTTAACCAGCTGGATGTTGCTACTGTGCCCCCTTTCTCCAGGCTTTTTCCTTTTTTAATGTGCATTTATGGGACTATATAAATTTACTTACTGGAAGTCCTTCTGCCTTATTTCTCGCATGTGTCTTCAGTTGGTTCATATGTGTAAAGCATATTGGGCTCAATTTACTAAGTGCTATTTACAGCTTTAAGATCAGCTGTAAAATACCTCAGTGTTTTTCAATTTTTTTTTTTTACAGTTCACTAAAAAACGCTACTAAAATACTGCATGTGCTATTTCTTGACGTGATGCAGTATTTGCATCCTTAGTAGCCAGGGAATAGCTGGTCCTTCACAGCCATGATTCATCTGCTCTCAGCGGAATTCCCCACTGACAGCAGAATGTAAACAAAAGAAGAAACTGTATTAAAAAAATTGGGAAAAATATACAGCAATATACATCTATACATACATATACATATTGGAGTCTGGTATGGATTTTGAGGGGGATCCCACACCAAAAGAGAAAAAATGGTGTAGCCCCCCCCCCCCAGTACATACCAGACCCATATCCAATCATGCAGTTCAGGAAAAGGAGGGGGGGTATGAGGGAGCGCTCCCCCTTTTCTTAACCATACCAGGGCTCATGGGGGGGAACCCCGCCTACTTGTGATGTGCACTCTGTGGGCTTTTTTTTTTTTTTTTTTTTAAAAGGACTTGTTGAAAACTGTGTATTTATTTACTTTTTCTTTTTTGGTGAATGAGTAGCACGTACTCCATACTCATTCACATGGGTGGGGGTCAGGATCTGGAAAGCCCTTTTCTTGTTAAAGGGGGTTTCCAGATTCTGATAAGGCACCCCCCCATGTTGAGAGCATGTGGCCTGGTATGGTTCGGGGGGAGGGAGTCTTCCTGGCCTGTTGGGCTGCATGCTTGGATAAGGGTCTGGTATGGGAATTCCACTGACAGCAGATGAGTCATGGTTGTGAAGCACACAGCAGCTGCCAGCTCATTGACATCCATATCTCCTTCTTTTAAGGCTGTCGTTGGGTGCCAGTTCCTTTACAACTGACTGAAATGTAAAGTTTAACTTAAATGTAATTCTTTAACTTGACCACTACTCTATTGCATTTATTTATTTCCGAATGCATTTATTTATTTCCTTTAGTGAATTGACTTTAACGTTGTTTTATGCTGTATTTACCAATAAGGGATAGTAAATTGACATTTTCCATATCACATGCGATATTTGGGAAAAATGTGTCACCTGACCCAAATACCGCATGCGATCTGCTTTAGTGAATTGAGCCCCTTGGCTGGACTGCAGGACTGCCAAGTAAACATTTAATCCGAATGACCTGTGTGGGACAGCACTTTTATGAACCAGCCTTCCCCACACTTTCTGGAGTGAGATTGGGGGGAGGTAAGCTATTGACCTTTGTGAATGCCTGGGCAGCTTGGATTCCAGATGCCAAGGTGCAATAGGTGGTGTCTCAGAGCTTCAAACTCCATTTTAGTTCCCTGCCCCTTGTTTTTCTTGCTTCAAACTTTCCTGTGTCGTCTCTTAGACTGGCAGATTTCCATCAGGCCTTTTGGACCAAGGTGTCATAGCCAGAAAGACGGGTTCTCTTTCTGTTTTTCTGGAAGGATCAGGTTCCTCCTTTTCCTGTTATAGACTCAGTCCACCAGAGTTTTGAATGCCTTTTTGGGCTTTTCTGCATCAGGCTTCTGTTGCCCAGATATGAAAGGCTGCCACCTGGGCTTATGTTAACACGTTCTGCTAAGTTCTGCTAGGTGTATGCTTCTCCCTTATCTGATGCCAGCTTCGGGCCTTAGGTCCTTCAGGGAGCTGAACCGATCAAATTTTGACATGTGTATACCCTACGTAATAAGGCTGGTGGCTTTAAGGACATAAAAGATAAGATATGCTATATTGCCAAAAATATTGGGACACCTGCCTTTACACACACACTAGCATTCCAGTCTTCATCCCTAGGATTCAATATTGAGTTGGCCTACACTTTGCAGCTATAACATCTTTAATTCTTCTGGGAAGGCTGTCCACAAGGTTTAAGAGTGTGTCTATGAGAATGTTTTGACCATTCTTTTAGAAGCGCATTTGTAAGGTCAGGCACTGATGGTCGGACAAGAAGGCCTGGCTCACAGCCTCCGCTCTAATTCATCCCAAAGGTGTTCTATCGGGTTAAGGTCAGGACTCTGTGCAGGCTAGTCAAGTTCCTCCACCCTAAACTCACTCATCCATGTCTTTATGGACCTTGCTTTGTGCACTGGTGCGCAGTCATGTTGGAAAAGGAAGGGGCCAGCCCCAAAATGTTCCCACAAAGTTGGGAGCATGAAATTGTCCAAAATGTCTTGGTATGCTGACGCCTTAAGAGTTGCCTTCACTGAAACTAAGGGGCCAAGCCCAACCCCTGAAAAACAACCCCACACCATTATCCCCCCTCCACCAAACTATACACTTGGCACAATGCAGTCAGGCAAGTACCTTTCTCTTGGCAACCACCAAACCCAGACACATCCATCGGATTGCCAGACAGAGAAGCGTGATTCGTCACTGCAGAGAACACATCTCCACTGCTCTAAAGTCCAGTGGCGGCGTGCTTTTACACCTCTGCATCCATGAAGTTCTATGTGCACTGTTGCTGTGCTAATCTGAAGGCCACACAAAGTTTGAAGTTCTTTAGCTATTGACTCTGCAGAGAGTTGACGACTTCTGCGCACTGTGCGCATCTGCATGCACTCACTCTGCTCTGTTATTTTACGTGGCCTACCACTTCGTGGCTGAGTTGCTGTTGTTCCCAGTTGCTTCTAATTTGTTATAGTACCACTAACAGTTGACTGTGGAATATTTAGTTTCAAGCAAATTTCACGGTTGGACTATTGCACAGGTGGCATCCTATCATGGTACCACGCTTGAATTCACAGAGCTCCTGAGAGCGACCCATTCTTTCACAACTGTTTTGTAGAAGCAGTCTATATGCCTAGATGCTTGATTTTATACATGGTCATGGAGGTGATTGGAACACCTGAATCCAAAGATTTGGAGGGGTGTCCCAATACTTTTGGCAATATAGTGTATTTAAAAAGAAAGTAGTTTTTTTTTTACTTACCTATAAATTATAACAAGTGTGTATTTTAAAGTATCCCAGACTTTTGTGGATAAAAAGTTGACGTCCATGGCAATAATTCTGGAAAGCTTAAAGACCATAGGAATCTTCTATTTGACGTCATAGTCATAGGAATTTTTATAATATTGCAACACTTGCTATATGAAGGAGTAGAGAGGCTCGAAGGTGTCATCGGCATCTTTTGGAAGCTGGTGTGAGATAGACAGAGAGGTTAATATATTGAGTACTGCTTGGACCTTCAGGGAGGAGGAGGGTACATCCTTGTCCTGAAAATGTGGATTTGATATTAGTGCAAATTTAAATAAAAAGAAAAAAAAATAGTATGTGTGTGTATATGTATGTGTGTGTGTTTAATCTTATTTTCTTTTTAATCTGATTTATGGGGGTGGTTTAACTAAAGGTGTTTCTGCTGCAAGACTTGTGAGTGTCTCTATACCTGTTTTGGATTTGCGTGAAATTAAATGTGGTATGCATACAAAACAATTATATGTTTCTTATTAACCACTTCCAATCCAGACACTTACCCCCTTCCTGTCCAGGCCAATTTTCAGCTTTCAGCGCTGTCACACTTTGACAATTGCACGGTCATGCAACACTCTACCCATATGAATTGTTTAGCTTTTTTTGAGGCAGATAAAACTTTCTTTTGGTGGTATTTATTCACCACTGGGATTTTAATTTTTTTTTGCTATATAAATGAAAAAGTCCAAAAATTTTGAAAGTGATTTTCTTATAAAAGTTTGCAAATAATCTTTCTTCATAAATCTTGCCCAAAATGTATTCAGTTATCTTTTTAGTAAAAAAAATAACCCAAATTAGTTTATAACCAAAAATTATAATTTTTCAAAAAATATTTTACATTTTTTTTTTTAGATGTTATTTGTGTTTTGTTTTTTTTTTTTTTTTAACATACGGTCACCCTACCAGTACAGTGTCACCATAGTGACACTGTACTACTTGTGGGGAGTGATGATTCTTTTTTTTTTTTTTTTTTTTTTTTTCCACTGATTGCTTTTACACCCATAAAGGCTGTAAAAGCAATAATTTCTCTTTCTCACTGGCTGCATTCTTGCAGCCATTGAGAAATACTGTGGGAGCTGTGATTGATCACAGCCTGTCACATGGTACAAGGCTGTTGTGATCATTACTACTATTCATGTGATCACTGATTGGCCAATTAGTGATCACATGATCAGGACCTCACACAGAGGTCCCGTACAGCGATCGGTGTTCTGCTGTGTCCGACACCAGATTGTGGTGCTGCGCACACAGGTTTAAATGGCGGGTGCAGTTTATGAACGGCAACCCACTCCTGCACCGCTCCCGTCCGGCTGTTTATATACATGGGCCGGACAGGAAGTAGTTAAGCAAATGCAAAAAGCAATGAGGATTGCAGCGCACAGTACTTTCCACCTTGCTGCATTTATATCAGATTATTTTTTACTGGTTTCTGTGGATTTCTACACTTTGTGTAAAGTTGCTACTTTTATAAAGCGTCATTGGGGCATACAAAGAATGATTCTGAATCTTAGCAGTTTAGAGAGCTTGACTGAGGCCACTGAAGGTTACTTTTCACTTGCTATCTACTTGGCCACTGTGTTTGATTGGTTAGAAAGCCTCAGCATGCAACGTCTGTTCAAGGTTATGATTAGTAACTCTGTTTGCTGGTACTTTATGCTTCTGCTTTGCTTTTCAGAGAGAATCCAATTGTGGGGAAAGGATCGTAGCAGATATACATGGACCCGGGAAATAGAACTGGAACAAAGTAATGCCAGACGAAAATACACAGCCACAATCAGAGCTGGTGTTTGGAACAACTTGGCAAGAACTTTACACCTGTATTGCAGGAATATTTCTGAAGACCTGGGAGAAAAATGGCTAAAACCCTGAGAAAATGGAGTCAGTATCTACTAGCAGAACCAGATAGTGATTTATTCTGGCCTGCGACAATATTCACACTGCAGGCAGTGCTTTGTAAACATGCAGATGCTGCCTTTCATTTCTCAGTCACATTCCCCAGGAAGTCACACTTCACATTTGAGTTGTCTGTTCTCAATTTAGCTATTGAGACTGCCATCTCTCATAGAAGAGGCCACTCACATGAATGTTGGAAGTCCTGCTTGGTGTGCTCAGCGTCGTACAATCACACTCAATCCAGATGGACCCCGTGTCTCGGTCTGTGAGTGACCTGGGGCGTGAGAAGTGCGATTGCCAGTTTACAAGGAATTGTGGTTCAGTGATGGTTGAGGAGCCCTGGCAGAAAGCCACATTGGACTGTACCACATATCCCTGCACTAGACAATTCAGGGTATTCAGACCTGTTTTTCTTTAAACGGTACACATTGATTTTCATGTTATTTATTTTTTATGTTTGCTAATTTTCTTTTCCTATTCAAATGTTTCAAGTGAATATCTCCCCAGTAATGTTTTTATAGATGACCTGGTAAAGGCACAGGCCCAATGGCACACTTTCCTTATATATTCAGAGCTGAAGCAAGCCCCAAATTAATGCTTACCTTTGGTCTCCAAAAACCTCTGTTAGCTAATATTTTTATTTAAATTTTGGCATATATATATATATATATATATATATATATATATATTATATACATACACACGTGTGTGTGTGTATGTACGTATATATATATATATGTATATGTGTGTGTATGTATGTGTGTGTATATGTATATGTATGTATATATATATATATATATATATATATATATGTATATATATATATATATATACATATACACAAACACACACATTATATATGTTTGTAGATGGCTTCCAGTTACACACTGGAAAAAAATGTGGACTTTCTGCGACAGTCTTATACAGTCTTCTGTAAACTAGTTAAGTTGGTTTCCTTATCCGGATTTTCAGACTAAAGTGAAACTCGACTGGTACTTCAGAACAATTAATGTAGTAAATTGGAGGGGATACATTAGCAAACCCTTGTTCTGCTACTGTTCACATCCCTCAAACAAAGTCTGAACATTCAGCAATGACGGTGCTCCTAGAGAAGAGCTGCATCAGAACTGATCACTTATATGATTACATTCATTTGTGTGTGTGCAGCTTAACTGGGTTAGAAGTAAAAGCAATGAATAAGTACAAGTATTAGGGGGTGCACTCTAAGGTTTAAAAAAAATGGAAAAAAAAACAACAATAATTTTGCATGCTTTGAGTATGACTCTGGGCTCCAGATGGGAGGTATCTGCGAATAGTGTGTCACATATGTAATTAAGATCTTTCCAGGTCCCCTAGCTAATATTTTTCCTATACCGGTTATTATAAATTTTGTGCCATATTTCACCTACAGGTGGCACTGTACTTGAATTTGAAATGTTTGGTTATTTCCATTTTACTACACAGTTGGGACAGAATATCTGGGAAGGCATTCCCAACAGTTGAAATGCCCAATCATGCCTTCTATATAAATATGTGCATTGGTCAAGCCTTGAAGACTTACTATAATTAAGTCTTCGTATTAGTATTGGTAACAACTGTGGTAATGATATAACTTGATTAAGTCAGAAATGCCCATCCTTTGAATTTCAACTGCAAATAATATCTCACAATTGTTCTTAGAAGCCCTGGAGATGACCACTTTTGATGCACATTTTAATGAGGATGTGTAACTGTTGGGGTCCAAAAAAAATGGAAAACATCACATCAACATCAAATTGGGAGTTGACGCCACTGTTTTATACAGATGGAGGGTTGATTTTCTTTGGTAAAGGAGCATTATTTAGCAGGGGAATGTAGATATCCCTATTAAATTGTACTAAAAAAAGCATACATAACAAAATAATGGAAAATGTGTGCGGGAAGCCAGTATCTTCCATTTTACCCATGCAACTTCAGAAAATGTCATAACTTTTTGTCTACGTCCTGTGTAGAGTTTAAGGCATTTGAGAATCCGAGCTATGGCTGATCAGACTGACAAAGTGCATATTGATGGTCAAGGTGGCATCTACAAGGGACCAAAATTTAATACAGGATCTAGAGGCTAAAGAAGTCTATTTAAAAAGATCTGAAAAATTACTTTTATTGCACTAAACATTGCAGGTTATTTCAGCATATCATTTTTTTTTTATTTATAAAATGTTCTAATTGCATCATTAGAAATCCAAGTGAATGTACACTGAGGTGGTTGTTGCCGTGCTTCAGACGTAAGGCATACAGGCTCTCTAGAGCTATTGGGTTGATGTATGTGGCCTACACCCCCCTGCTGTGTTAATGTCTGCCTGTTTGTCCTTAAGCATCAGGTGGGTACTACAAGAGAAAAAAATTGGGAAGCCATAGGTCTTAACAGTGTTTGAAAACTAAATACACGTGATTCTGAACTTGGTCTCCTAACCACATTTAGGGATACATTTGGCAACAGTTGCCAAAGACTAATTCCTACTTTAATAAATTCATTATGTAGTGGTTACATTGTCCCCATACCAGTTCATGCTGAATTAACAAACGTATTAAATTGTTGGGAATTGCAGAAGCTCTTAGTGGTTGCCTGCACCAAGCATCACTGTTTTTAATAGGGAGTGCAATTTATTTACAGCAGGGCCACAACAATAGCTTTATTTTTTCAGATAAATAAGTAAATAAGTTTAAAAGATTGATATAGGTGAAAAGCCGAGAAAATTTACATGTTGCATCTCTCTACATTTACATTTTGGATCTCTAAATATGCCCACCAAGGTTTATTGGATAACAGATGCAATCTGCAATTTTGTTTGGTTGCTGATTTCTAATGGCTATGGCTGTCAATCACTGAGATGACTAAAAGTAAAGTATTACTTTGAATGTTTAGTGTGAGTGCTATATTTTCAGCACTTTCTTGCAAATATTCATTTGGATCTCTCTAAATATGTCCCCCGAGGGTCTTTTGGATAACACATGAAATACCTAATTTTGTTTGGTAACCATAGCCATTAGAAACCAGTAACCAATCACTAAAATGATTAAAGTAAAGTATTACTTTAAATGTTTAGTGTCAGTGCTGTATTTTCAGCATTCCCTTGCTAATGTTCATTTGAACTCTAGTCTTAGTACTAGATTAGCTCTGCTTCCTGAATCAATCTCTTGAGCTTTCACCTTTAATACATTGCTGTTATACATTGTTAAACTGAAACATAAGGTGGAGTACAGACTATGAGAAAATCGGAAGAAAAATTCCATACGAGGACTGGTTGTTCGATTTTCGCATAGTGTGTACACCACTTTAAACATCTGATTCAGACTTTCCAAATGAAAATTTCCCAAGGGACAAACACCAAAATTTTTCTTGTATGTGAACAGAACTAAAGAGATTTGTTTAATGTGTACTGTTTTCGTACAGGAAAAATCGGACACGAAAGACTGCATATGATCAGAAACAATTAACAATAATCTACGCTACAATGTTTCTACATCACAAAAAAAAAAAATCCCTTGTCATTCGGGAATATTCGTACAATTAGTACTATCCTTGAATTCGACTTACTATGGAACATTGAGGAAAAATGTTTATCCAGCTTTACTGTAACTGGGAATCATATTCTCTATATATGAAGATTATAGGTGAGCCATTCAATCCATAGATTGGGTGCGTATATTTGAATACACTGGTTTTGTATTGAATTCCTGATTTGGGAATTTTAGGTTTTTGTACATCTCAGCTTCTCTAAGAATTTTTTCAAAATGATTATATATTGCTGCATCTGCCATAATTTTTCCTGGCATCTACAGGCAACATTGTTAGGTAGCGGACTTCTTAACTTGAGCCCTGCAACCGCAAAGTACATACACCTTAACTGTGTCCTCAGAGATGACCACTTTAGACCATCACTTTGCATTTTTCTGAGCTGCTGGCACAGTGTCATGAATGCCCAAACACTGCACAGGTTCTTATCATAGGAGTAGCCTTCTGTAATGCACCACTTTTCCTTACCACTCGGAGCACTTTAGTAATCTGCTCTGTCCAGATTACGTGTGTCATTTTACGTTTTTGTTTTCTTTATTTTTTTTTAATATAAGATGCATAATGTATCAAGTTATTTTCTTTAAGATCAGTTCCATGATCAGTGCTGTAATTTCTTTAACAAAAAGAAAAAAACTGAAAAAAAAAAAGTTTTATCATGTTTAGAAGACCAAAGATGATTTATATTTGTCCTGTATATATTTATTTTAAAGCTGTTCTTTCGGTGTATATAAGATATGCTTTGCTTTGTCTGCATTAAACACAGGTACTGCCTTACTCACATTGCCATAGCTGGAAGAGC